CGTAACCAATTCTCTATCGTTGGATATGATTTCACTTCACTTTTTTTTCCCACCATTCTAAACAGTGCTATGTAAATGCCCTGATGGGTACATCTTTTTGGACTGATTTTTTTTCCCTAAAGGAAACAATTTCTAGAAGTGCAGTTGAGTCAGTGTGTAAGTACGTTTTTCAGAGTTTACATATCCATTGACATGTCGTCCTCCGAAAAGGTCGCTCATGGTTTGTTCTCCCACAAATGGACACTAGCTAGAATATCTTATTAAAATATTTGCCAATTTGATGAGCAAAAGTGCTTTTTCATTGTTTTAGTTTGCATTTGATGACCAGTGAGGTATTGAGCATTTTTCACTAATTAGCCATTTGACTTTTTTAAAATGAATGATCCCTTTTGTCCTTTGCACACATTTAAGTGAGGGAGCTTCTGGTTGCTTTGTGACAGCTCTTTGTATGTTATGAACATTAACTTCTTGTCTTCATCAACATGTAGCACAGAGCTCTTGTCATTTCTTGCCTTTCATTTTGTTCAGGAGGTTTTTTATATTTGTTGTGGCTTAAAATATTCTCATGATAGTAAATGACTTCCTTATAGGTTTTATCTTTGACATTATTCTTAGGAATACTTTCTTATAATGGAATAATTCTCTTCTGTAGGTTTTTTTAAATCTCTAAGATGGAGATGATAATGGTACTTGTCATAGTGAGGAGAAGTGGAATTGATATGAGCAAAGAGTTGTATTTGCTGTTATTAGTACTTTCTAACATTTGCATCACTTTCTGTAATTTTTCTTGTCGTCATTATGACTGGAATAGAATGTGTTTTTTCCAGGTGATTTTCTGATTGTCCCAGGACAATTATTGAAGTCATACTTTTCCCTTTGATTTGAAATTCCACGTGTAAAAAATACTTACATACACTAGAGTCTCTTTTTGATCTCATGGTTCCCTTCTGTCAATCTCCCTTTCTTACTCCAGCATCATAACTTACATATTGTAAAAATTTATATAATAACTGGCAGTCTGAATTTTTTTTTTATTCTTTTCTTCCATCCCAAATTTTCTTGTCTAGTATTATGACTTTATTATTCCTGAAGAATTCCAAAATACTTTGTTCAAGTTAAAAAAAAAATCAGATTGGAGTTTTCATGGGATTTTTTTAGTAAGTTTTGAATTATTCTAAGGAGAACATACATCTTTAAAAAACTGCTTTCCTCCATGCAATATGTTGATCTCTCTACATTCACACCTCTTACTTTACCCCTCAGTACAGTCCTGTAGTTTCTCTGTTTAGAACATGGACACTGTTTTGAATTTATTCTAGATTATTGTTTATGATTTTGTTAA